CGCAGATTCAGGCTTACTCAGAATGAGCTGTATATAAGAAAATGGCTTAAAGTTGCTGTTGGTGACCACTGTCATATTTAGAATAGAGGAAATATTTGTGAATGTGTAAATGTAATGAAAAATCTGATTTAGACTTGATCTGAGATTGAGTGGTAGAGCAATGAACATGATCTGTACCACTCTGGAAAAAGTCAAGTTAGTCTGTTAGATGGTGTGCTGTTGCATGTGTTTACCTCCAGATGTCACTAGCGGGTTACTTGGACAATCTTGTTATTTCTTGGTGATATTTGTTGCTGCAATATATTGACTGTAATCTCATCTTGCATGGTTGGACAGGACTTACTGACTTTTACTGATTAAACATTTTCCTCTCTTTATTTTTTTTCCCCAGAGCCCCACCATTGAGCTTTCCACCATGCAGACCAACCCTCCACCTGTTGTGAAATAATACCCCCCAATCCAGAGGCTCAGCTTCATATTAGAATTTTTGTTAATATGGAACAAATAAAGTTGTTTTCCTCAACTTTGGTTAATTTGTTGGCTTTCTCTCTCTTTTCATAAAGCATCATAAAGCAACACCACTAGATTTTCTTTTTCCTGTGGTGACTGTAGACACACAAAGACTAACCAAAATAAGATCGCAATCAAGAGAAGGGTATATAAATGATCCTTAAGTTCTTCTCTGAACAAAACCATGAGAAGACTTAAGTGTCTGCACTGTTTTTAAATAAAAAGGCCTCTTGATGATTACATTGAGGTCAATACATTCTTAAAAGTATACAAGCGGGACTAGTTTATTCACATTGTTGTTGATGCTTTGTAATACAAATATTGCAAGTCCACCAACTATATTGAGCTTGCATTGCTTTATGGTTAGACTCTAAATTCAAAATGAACTACTATGAACTGTCACATCCCAATTCAGGTTTTCATTATTTAGTCAGGCCTGTACTGCCTGGACAGTTGTATCCTTCTGCACTTTAGTGTTTCCTTTTGGAAGGAGGAGGGGAAAAGCTGGGAGTAAGTGAGCTATTTATAGCCAGTGAATCGCAGTTCGGGTTTGCATTTTAACTAACTGAATTGGGAATAAGTTGCAGTGCTACCATATTTGGCAATGAGTGGGTGTTAAGAGTGGTCAGTCATTCTTGGAAACCAGGAATCTCGGTTTTTGATGTGCTGAAGTCACTTGATAAAGCTAATAACTACAATTGTATATCCAGCATTGGTTACATAATTCTTGTGAAGTCCACACTCATCTGTTCAGCTGCACAGTGGATTGTAGCATCATGACCGATGTGTTGACAAAAAATCAATAGGAAATAAATAGGTTTGTGTGTACAGTTATGTTCAGTGAACTGAATGAGTTGACTGGAGTCCTGCCTCGGGCCACAAATTAAGTGCTGTGTGAGGAAGTGTGGCGTCTTTTTGGCTGGTGATGATATTAATACATACAGGTGTTTTTTTTAAAAAAAAGTTATGAACGTTATGATCATTTTGGAGGTTTGTGCTGCAGTTAACATACAAGCAAACTCTAGGAGACTATTACAGCAATACTGAACCCCACAGCCTTGATGATGGCAGTACTTACTGCAGTGCTGCTGAATTAGACTATATTATTTTAAGACAGATGTGCCCAACGAGATGCCAAGGGAGTGTATATCATTACAGTAAATGACAGGCTGTGGATGAGGTCTATCTGTGGCCAAAGGCTTTTGGGTATTGAAAATGAATCTGCAGCTGACAAAAACCAGACCTAATGCTTGCCAAAGGTCCCTGCTTCTAACATCATGTACCACCTACACAGTTTAACAT